ATCTGTGCATGTCACCAGCACAATATGAAGCGCCTGTCTTTGAGTATGTTTTGGCTTCACTTTTATACAATGGAAGCAGACAGACATATTATCCACATTGCTATGCAGTTACAGAATGTCCTGAATTCTGATTCAAAGTAAACCACATCACAAACAAGACTTTTCATTGCCCTTCTTTGGACTGATTTTTCTGAATCGGGAGCTGTTTCCATAGAAGCACAGATGCAATTTTAATTGGATTGATTACTCAATATATTTCTCAGGAAATCAACTAATACTTCTAGATTAATCAAAATCTATAAGTTCATTATAGGTGTACTTAATTCTAATTATGCCACATTAAGGATGCTGCAGGAATGTGCCTCACACATTACGTTACATCTACCTGATTCATTCTTACTTGGCTTTACTAAAACGCTTAAATTGTTGTAAGATTTCACAGGTTTTAATCAGCCATTGTGCTGTGCCAGCCAAATGTATGAGGCCTGTTTAATATGTTTCCCTCGACTCTCCCCTTGATTAGGAATCAAAGTTATTGATGAAAACTTGGACCAGGTTTATGAGGGGACAGCCGGATTGACTTAGAGTCATTAAGGATAATACGAGCCTGGATTAGTCACAAATCTGAGTTATTGATATCTTTTACCAAGATTATGAAGAACCCAATAAGCTGTAAACATTTAGCATCATATTATCCAGGAATAGTAAAGAGGCACAACATGCGTAGAAATTACATTTCAAATGTATCCTACAAACAGTGATTGTTTGGCGATTAGGTCATATGTTGGTGTTTGCCAACCCGGCTTTTGTAGTATTCCCATTGAGATACACAAATCTGACCAAGACAAGAGTGCAAAACATTTCCCCCAAACAACAAACAACAAACAAACAACACACAACAATGACATCAATCAATTAACATGTTCATACACTGCAAATTATACTGAATCCTTGTTTATAATCTTCCAAACTAACTTCCTGAAATCAGTGCATCTGTTGATTTATACACTTTTTTTGTTCTCCTTGTGTTGGGAGTCACATCTCAACATCACAGGAACACCTTCACTAAGTTCCACTCACTGCTATCTGCATCACACTCACACTGTTAAGAAGATCTCACACCCACCTGCAGAGCTAACTGATCTTATTTTTCCTCCTAAAGTTCTCTACTATAGCTCACAGTCTTTCACTGGCTGGACTCACAGCAGCCCATTGCATTACTGCTGCATGCAAGTCTACTTCCTGTTTCTTGTTGCATCCCACATCTTTTTTTCTTTTTTCTCCAAAGAAAATGTTTGTCCTGTCTGCATGTGTCTGTGTCTTATGTCTTCTTAGTGTTATGTCTTCTTAGCACTTGCACTTCTACATGTACATGAAAGCTGAAAGGGAATCTTTTTCATCTGCATAATGCACTGTGTTAATAAAGTCTCCTCATGTGAAAGTTATGACAATAACATGACAAAGCTCTCAGTAATAATCTGTGATATTTTTAGTTCAAATCTGTATCTGAATTTTGAGAATTCAGTTCTAATAAAAAACAGTCTGCTGCATTGATTTGGAAATAGGAATTTCAAATGACTAGTAGTCAATCACATCATTTTTTACAGCAATTCTTTTTTGATCCAAAAAAGCCCTGGTAGTTCATAATCATCAAAATGAATAATGTATTAAATGGAACAATCAATGCAAAATGGACACAAAAAAACTAGTTTTTTGTTTCAAACCGCATGTTTTAATAACTTTTGTTCAATTCACCAATCACAATGTACGCTGGAAGATAAAGACAGGATGCTGTTTTAGATCGAGGCTACATGTGGCACCACACCGACCACGTCGTTGGCCGAGCTCCACCTGTTTCCCCTCTGAATATCAAACAGCATTCCTCATGTCCAGCCTGCATGAGAACTTCCTTCTTCTAACCTCCCCTTTCTCTGTTTTAGCCTCAGACACTTATGACCTAACCCTGAATGATGCTTGTGAATAACAGAGCTGAATGTACAGATGTCCTCCCTGACACCATGTTTCTGCTGCTGTTACTAACAAACACTGTCTGATTCACTTCCAGCCTCTGTCACGCTCACTCCAGTCTTAGTGGAATGCAGTTTTTCAGGCAGTGTGCTGCGACGATTACAAACGATCAAGAAAAAAAGTGCCTTCATGCATGTTTAATGATTAACCACAAACACTAACAATGATGTTTGAAATGTATAATAAGTGGTATGTAAAGATGAATGCTCAATGTATGCCAATGTATTCTCCAAAAAAGTACATGTTCGATTCTCCATCATGTCTTTGGTTACAATTTTTGAGGATCATTTTTTTCTGCCACCAACTTCCTGTATGTGCTGTTATTATCAGATTGTTAGCACAGGCCAAACGCTGTACAATCAGGAGGTAGTCCCCTTAATAACATAATAACAAGGCTAACAGTGTGTAGACACTATGTACATAATTAATTTTCATTGTTAGCCCTCTACCTTACACTTCCTGCAGTGGCATGAGAGTTAAAGCCAACATCATTATACAAGCATATACAAAACACCTCGACCCCCCCTCCCAACAGACTGTGTGTATATTATGATAAGTAATAGACCAACATGTCTGATCAAGGCCAACAGGCTCATTATGAGGCGCCCGGCAGTCATTACTCAGGAGAGCGGAGCTGATAATGAGGAGCATCAACTCGACACACACTGCCCTCTGTCCGCTCAAGCTGCCCTTAAAGACATGTTTTCACCAAAAAATCTGTCCTTCATGACTAAACATTTCCTCCCTACACGACCCTTTGGGTGGGGTAACGTTCTTTTTTTTAAGGATTGTCCAAAAGAAATCCTATAAAATAATGATTTATCGGGCGGTTTCTAGATCTGCTGCTGTCATGGTTAAAGTTCGGTTTAGTTTTATCCCAAACACATCTTTGTGAAGATCAGGGAGAGACAGTGGTGAAGATTAGAAGGTGCCAACGATGGGCTGCAGATGGCTTACTAGTGACCTAAATATTTAATCATTTTTGTCCCAATAATTGGACTTTAAAAGCTTGATAATGAAAAAGAGAGATTTTACTGAAGTATCACAACAACAAAAATTCATTTGTGGTTGTTTTTTTTATCAATCTTTAGTGATCTCAATTCATCAGTCTTTATTGTTTTACAATTCCAAATAGAAAAAACTTTCACACATCCATTTCTTAAGACAGGTGTGTAGGAGAGCAATGCGTCCATCACAAACTTAAAGTGAACTCCCGCCCACTGTCGAACTTTTAAACAAACATTTATTGTCGACTTTTTCGGTACTAGATCTTCATCAGACAAACAGTTTGTTAAAATGGGCATGACATCTTAAATAGGAAGTGGCCACAAGCCTGCAACCAATCATCATTATGACGTCAGCAGTGGTGTAGTGCCGGGTATACGCAGGTATACAGAGTATACCCACTTATTTTGCAGTCTTCACATTCCATGATTCCATTGATTTACTGACAGTATTCAGCAGGATGCTCCATTTTCTTTCCTAAGATGGGGAAAAGATGAGCCTTTCTACTCTGTCTCTGATTCGCTAGTACATACCGACTATGCAAGCGTATTCTCACATATCACAGTTTATAACAGAGGCAGTTTTTAGTCTGCTGGACAGGTCACTTAAAAAACATTACGGGGGTGGGGGGGGGATTAAAGAGTATACCCACTTCTTCAGGCACCTCTACACCACTGGACGTCAGCCGTGAAACAACAACTTAACAAACATATGAACATCAGCTTCTGGGTTGAACACCAAAAATAAAATAAAAACTGCCGGGAGCCCAAGAGGCAATTCTAAATAACGTCTCATTTCATAATTTTCTTTTTTGATCCCAAAAGATAAATTAAGATCCAAACACAAAATCTGAATTGTTGCAGTGGATCAAATGTTCAAAGATTACCAGGATCATGTTTCATCCTTAGTCCCCACAAAATACTACAGTCCCCAAAATGCACGCAATGTACAAACATGTTGAATCATATAATAAGCCTTGGTCACTTAAACAAACTTAAAAAAATGTATCAACATGTTTAACACACCCGAATCACAGAAGCGCTAATGTTATCTCCAGACACTTTATAAGAAGGTAAAAGACGGTCCTCTTTGTTTCATTGTTGATCTAAGCTGTTAAAGGATGAGCACATCCACATCAAAGTCACAGTTTGAGTTTGATGCTCCGTGCTCTATCTTAAGTATAATATGTGTAATTGATGCTTCTTTTCTGCCATATAGACAAAGGCTGAAAGTGTTTTGAAAATTTAAAACACACCTGAATGTTACCTTCACTCGTTCCCTGTCCATGTCTGGAGCTGTCTGACACCGTTGTGTAAATGTTAGATAAAGCTAAAAGCTTTTTATTTCCTGCAGCGTGTGTTTGTGACAAAGCTTTTTTCTGGCGCTGCTGTCATTATGTATAATTTCCCCCATGCTCTTACATAAACTAGTCAGACGTGGCATCGTTTCTTTCAAAATAATTACCACTTTGGCAGGGTTCATAACTTTCTGTATTTAACATTATGTAAGCAAACCCCGAGATTACTCTGTGACTTTAATATGTTGTAGAATCTGCTATCAGCACCTGATCGCGTGTAGCAGCGGAGTCAATGATCTGCTGGGTTTTTTTTACTGTTTCACTTTACTGTCTGTGTTCTCATCCTCTAACAGCTTTGTGCAGCCACATGGCAGAATCAAACTCTCTGTGTTAGACCAACAAAGGATGTCTTAATCACACTGGTGATTACTGCCTACACATCTGCAGCTCGCTCTGATTGCAGCGCTTGTTAGTAAAGCGACCGAAAAAAAACAGTATAGGCCGGAGAGGCAATCAGTTCCACTCGTCAAACTCGCAATCAATTAAAGTTTGAGTTTAGTTGACCTTGAAGAAACGACAGATAGAAGGTTAGAAGCACAGTAGGTAAACTGCATTAAGATGAACCATACTTACATCAGCTGATATGGATGCCTTGATTTGTCCTGTGCAGGGGAACCCAGTGCTCCCAAACTAGAAGGCAAGGCCCAGAACAGGGGCAATGTGCTTAAGGTCAGCTGGATCAAGCAGGACGACGGCGGATCTCCCATTAAACATTACCTGGTCAGATACAAGGCTGTGAGTATACTGGGCAACGAGGTCACTTGTTACCATTTTATTTATTCACTAAAACACCTGAAAATAACTTCAGTTCATCAATAGGCCTACATGTTTTAAGTTTATTGTTCTAAATCCACCCTGATCCTGTATTTGATCATGCCTATAAACCCCTCTATTTCAGCCCTGCTCAGAACAGGCTGTTTCTGTGTCTGTACCTTTAAATGCAAATGAGCTGTGTCTGACCACGCCCCTTTCCAAAAGGGGATGTAGTTTGGCTTTCTCACTCCTTGTCCTATTGTTTACAGTGAGATGGCAGATTTAGAGGGCAGAACAAACACCTAGCTGTGGGAGTCTTATCCAGCTGGGGGAGGGGTTACTGCCCTTTGTGATGTCATGAAGGGAAAATCTCCAAACGGCCAGTTTGAGCATACATTTTCTGAAAAGTGGAGCAGGCTTAAGACTTTTTTTTCATAACTGGACACACATTAGTGTCAGAAAACATGGTAAAGTGGATTTTGCATCATAGGGTGGCCTTTAAGATTAAAAACTATTTTACAAGGGAGACGTGATCAAGGTGTCAGCCTTACAAAACCACACACACATTAAAAACCTATTCAAACAACACATCATGAGAAAATAACATTTTTAAGCAAGTATTCAAAAACACAGTGGCCGTCAAGAAAATCAACCACATGCCTCTGTCAGCACTTCCTGCAGGGTGCTCTTGTATTTCTTAAGAGTTATCACTGTGTCTATTTTTAGCTCTTTTTTGAAGGTGTTCAAACTAAACGTCCTCAGGCAGAAATCCTCTTTTTCACCTCTCAATTATTTTGAATCTAAAATGATCTGAGTCCATCTCATTTGGTTACACAGTCTAAAGGTTTTGCCCCCCACCCCCCTCCTCAGAAGCACGTTTCCGACTGGAAACCGGAGATCCGCCTCCCTCGTGACAGCGACTACACGATGCTGAGCGGCCTGGAGTGGAACACGGACTACGAGGTGCACGTGGTGGCGGAGAACCAGCAGGGGAAGTCGGAGCCGGGCATTTTCTCCTTCAGAACGGCTGTAGAGCCCACCACCATCCCAGGTACTATTCTCTCATCATCCCAACCCCGAGCATCCACACACACACACACACACACACACACACACACACACACACACACAGCAGCCACAGTGCACAAAGGCCTCCACCGTGACCAGAAAACTCTATTACCTGGCTCCTTGACTGTTGGCTGGTTCTTATTCAAAAGCTGGCTGGCTGTAGGCTCCGACATGGATCATCTGTCTCTGCCTGCCGTGTGTGTGGGAGGTGCTTTGTTATTTTACAGTCCTTATTAGTGCAGCTCGTAACAAAAAGAAAATATGATGCAGTGAAGTCAAACTCAAGGACAGTTTCATTTGCTTAAAGCATCAAGAAGTTGCATGTAATTTAGAGGAATATTTGAATATTCTGCACTCTCTGATAAAACATCAGGGAATAAGCACAAACTCTGAAATGCAAACTAGACTTGGCAGTCAGAAAGGTCGAGAAAAACACCTTCCACCATCTTGTTTATCATATATAACACTCAGATTGTTATATAATGAAGTTAAGGGCAAACAGAGAGAAATGCCATATTTAACAAGTCTTTAGGGAAGTTTTCTTGAAGTATATGTGGAAATAAATCAAACAGATTAATCGAGACTGAGGAGGAGTTGTTGCTTTAAAGGCCTCTTAAACTGTTTTTCTTATTCCCATGCCATTGAGCGATTAAAGAGTTTACAGTTGCATTAAAACAGTCACAGTACGGTGCTGTGTGTGCCTTGGAGGGTGATGAAAAGATTAACCTCCTGGCCACTCAAAGTAAACAAGTTAAACCCGGGTCATTTAAGGTTAATTTGGCGTTTGCCTCTTACCTGTAGCTATACGTGCTTTCACACTGTAACGGCTAAACTCTTGTCTAGCTCCTAGTTCTGTGTCTTCCAGCTAATCCTTCCTTCAAGGAGTCAAAGGATTCTTTGTTTGTCATGCACAGAGCTCCTCATTTGCATTTTAAAACATTGTGCTCACTCCTCAAAAATTTCAGAAGCCAGGCTTCACGGGCTCAACAGCGACTGTTAAATCCATACGAGGAGCAGAAGCACGTTCTCTGTACTTTTCCTCTCCTCTTTGATGTTCTGCTGCTGCAGATAAAACTTGGTGCTATGCTCTCCTGCTCCTCAGTGGCAACTATAAGGCATCCGTCACTGCACAAGCTGCAGTGAGCAATCATTTCAGGGCAGATATCAGTCAGGCCCAGAGCTCTTTTTTTTTTTTTTTTCACACCAAATATGTTCTGAACCCAGGTGGTCACGGTCGGCCTTTGCTCTGTTGTTGTTGTTGTTGTTGTGTGTAAGGTGTGCATTTGAACTCGGGCTGCATCCCCACGGCAACTATACCTGAGCCACAAAACAGGTTCGGCTTCTTCCTCATCCAGCGGCCTTCACATCTTCTATCAATGATAACTCTGACATGTTTTCATTCTCTCTGCATTATCATCTCTTTCTCACATTGTTAGCTAAACTCTCAGGGTTGTCTCGACTCGCCGCGCTCTTCTCACAAAAGAGAAAATAAAGCTTCAAACATGATTCCTTTCAACTGTCAAATAATCATAAAGGAATGGATAGAGAAGACACCAACAATAAAAAAATTGATTTGAATAGAATAAAGAGAAACAGTTCTGTAAAGAATTGTGTAAAATGGATTATTATCAATTAGCTTTTGGGATGCATATTAAACCTTCATCTGAAGCCTTAGAGGTTGAATAGTACCCTCTTTAAAATCCAATTATTATTATATTATTCTTTTATCAGTGTACTAACTTAAAATGCATGATTCTTTTTCAAACTCAGGCTCATTAGTGGTGATAAAACTATTACAATATAATGCAGGTTTCCAGCGTATTTATTTGTCGTGCATTGTGTAGAAATAAAAACTACTTTAACAGTAACTCATAAATAGAAAAACTGTGAACCTTGTAATGTTTGTGATTCATTTTAGTATTCTAATGATGCACCCTTAATCCCTAAACTAATCCACAGCTGCAAACGGTCCACCATGAATGCAGCTTTTACTCCTGTTTGAATAATGTCTGCTCAACCTGCAGAGGCCAGGAGTTTAATAAACAAGGTCTCTAATGAAAACCATGAATGCATGACCTATTTTTAGAGTGCACATCGTCAGTAAGAGACACAGAGGTGAGGGGGAGGAGATTAAGAAAAAGATGCACACATAAAAACAACATGTTGTATTTTGACTTTTTTTTATTATTTAAATTAATTATTTAGAAAAACAGAAAAGGTAAATTAAGACTTCACCCTCTCTGTTTCTGACGTTTGATAAAGCATAATTAAAAAACGTTTGAATTTAGGCCAATTGATTTATGAATCAAGGCAGGTTTATTTAAGCACATTTCAGCAACAAGGCAATTCAAAGATAGATAGATAGATAGATACTTTATTGATCCCGAGGGAAATTCAAAGCATCCAGTAGCAGGTTACAAAGATGTACATGACATGAAACATTTGTTACAAATTAACCAAAAAAACCGACCCCCCCCCCCACCTTCCCATACATATATATTAACCCGAAAAAAGATTTAAAGAATCCCCCTAGATGAATCAAAATTAAACAAGCAGTTAAAAATAGACATAACCCGTGCAGGGATAAAAATATATGTGAAATTTAAACAAGAACCTAAAAAACAGTTGAGGAAAAAATCTGTAATTAGACCTGAATATAAAAAATAAAAATACAAAAGTGTTGACCTTCTGAGTTGTGTTGTTTATATATGTACAGCAATGTTTAAAAAGCAGATAGTGCAAAATTATCAAACAGACACTGCAACAGGCAACAATAACAGGCAGTGCAAACATTAAATTAAAGGTGCGATTTAAATAATTGAGGTTATCATTAAAGTGCTCTACACGCGTCATCAGGCCACCCTGAAACAGTTCAAATCTTTTCTAATCATATTTTTATTTCTTGTTCTGTCAGAAGTCATGGTACCCAACGCTCCATTTCCACTCTATTTTCATTCTCTCTATCAGCCCCGCTCTTACTCCTCCACTGCCAGGTTAATTGGCTCTCACAGTTCAGGGTCCATGACTGACCTGAATATTCGCTGTGTGGCCTGGTTAGGTGGGGATGCAGCCCCTTTTAACAGTCTTTGCATGGTGCCACTTCCTGCTGGATTAATTTTGTGTGTTCTGTACTGGAAACCCTTTACAAGCAATGGCTGCCAGTGCATGGCCCATAAAGAAACCAGTTATTTTCTTTTTTCATGCGCTTGCTGGGCAACAGCCATATAGCAGTGGGGAGGTTTGGATCACTTAAATACTCCAAGTGCAGAAGTTCACATGGACTTCATCCAAGTCAACCCCCTATAATTTCCTTAATTACTTTAATTTGATTTTTGTTATGTTGTGTTTACTCCTGCCTCCAAGTCGCTGGTGTGTGTTTCTTTTTTTCTTCACTTCAAGGCATGTGGAAAACTGCTGAGGTTTATTTTTAGCTCCCAACATCTGCACTTAATTCCATTAGGTCTCACAGCTGTTCTCGGGTAACGCTGCCTTCAAAACAGCTGCTCTTCTGTAAATACACTCTGGCTCGATGCACTGAATTGGCACTGTGATGCAAATAGCAAAATTCAGGGTTGATGCAAGTTTGAGTTTTTTCCAAACAGTTGCTCAGGAAGCGCTCATACATACAGAATGCGACAGAGACAAATCCATCAAAAGGATATTTGAATGTCTTGTGGAATGAGACGTCTTTAAAAAGAGATGTGTTGTAAAGAGGATCTGTAGAATCTGCTTTTTGTCTAAAAGCTTTTAAGATATTGTGCCTTGTGTAGTTTGAGGTGTCTGCAGGTACAGCAGGGCAGCATTTACATGCCACAGACTCAGAGGACAAAATGCTGCCCAGCTGAGGAGAGATAAAACATCATCATTTATGTCATGCAAAAAAAAAAAAAAAAAACCCAATGGTGATCTTAAAAGATCTGTGTACCTGTGCTAATAAGTACGCAGATGTATCAGGTGCTCACAGCTGATCCATCCAAATCTCCCCAGCTAAGGTTGACATTGGGTTAAAACTACAGCTATTAACTTTTTGCAGTTTCGATAACATAACATCACCCATTCATCCATGTCATAGACCTGACCTTCATAACCAGCTTCTGTTCTGGATGTGTGGTTTTGCATGGGCTGTTCTCCCTGCAATGACCAGTGGTGTAATGTTAGCTGAGGAAGTCGCCCTTCTGAGAAAAAAGGCTCCGCCCTCTTTTATTTTTTACAAGTGCACACACATTTACACCAAGCATGCGTCTGGTGACGTACCATGTTACAGCAGTACAAGTCTTAGTGATGCAGTACTGCAGAACATATATCTCATAGGTTCAGATCATGCTTTCTTTGTAGTTGAAAGTTAACAGCCACATTTGTTACAGTACGCAATATGTTTTCATTGTTTTGACCTGCCGTTCAGAAATATGACATGCTTAGTGAGTTAAATATTTTGTAAACTGCAACAGTCTATATGTACTGTAGTCGTTTTAATCAACTGTAAATACAATTCCACTTCAGATCTATTGAAGTGGAATTATAAAATGATTGTGATGAGAGAATCTCTGAGCTTCTAATGCAAGACAAATTTCTGTGCAAACGGACAATGAAGTGTTATCTTATCTTATCTTAAGTCAGTAAATTAACATAAAAGCAAACAGTCTCTGTCTAGATAAGCTGGTGCCTCAGAATCCTACAGGCCACCAAAGCAACCATCAATGGATTCTTCATTCACTAGATTCTGGATTTAGACTTCAATTGTGCAGGAACATGTTTGTGTTACTTGACCGTTCTAGTCAGTTCTGGTCAAGCTGCAGAACTAGTTGCATTGTTGCAACCCTAAATAATAATAATGAAATTACTGATAAATCTGTTCCCCCTGTTAAAGTTTAGTATAAAATCAATATCCCACTTCAGGTTGTGCTGTTATACTGAATATCAGCACTGCCTCAAGTCTGTGACCATATCACAGCAGTGCTTATGTCCAGTATAACAGCACGCCCT